GCAACCACTCGTCCTGAACTCCCCTCCCCTTTGGGTTGTGGCCTTTTAGGACCTCGCTGACAAGCCTCCTTAGCTGGTCAAAGTCAGCTTTTCTGAAGTCGAGGACTTCTGTGTTACTGACTGACTTGCCAGCTTTACAGTAGATGGTGAAGGTGATCAGCTCGTGGTCACTGTCACCCAGCTTCCCTTCGATCATTAGGTCGCTGATTAGGTCATCCCTGGTTGCCAGTACGAGGTCGAGCAGCGTCTTACCTGTCGTCGGCCTGTAGACTTCCTGCATTAGATAGAGGTCATCCACACACGAGAGAAAGTTTTGTGACTGCTTGGATTTGACTGAGCTCTCCTCCCACGAGATGTCTGGGTAGTTAAAGTCTCCCATGACAATCATGCACAGGGAGCACGCAGCCTCAGGTAATTCCCTGCCAATCTCCTGGTCAAGGTCTTGACCCTGGGTAGGGGGTCTGTAAAAGACTCCCACTATAGTATCCCCTGTGCCGTGTTCCCCACGGATTTTAACCCAGGGGGTCTCAAGTCACCCACTGTGGGTGCCAATGTTGGCTTGCAGGGATGCATAGCTTTCCTTGACATGGAGAGCTATACATCCACCCCTTTAGTCTACTCGATCCCTCCTGTACAGGGCATAGCTGTCTATACCCATGGTCCAGTCATGGGTGGAGTCCCACCAGGTCTCCGTTATCCCTATGACATCATAGTTATTTGCATTTAGCAGGAGGACAAGTTCCTCCTGTTTATTACCCAAGCTCCTGGCATTTGTGTATAGGCACACAGGTGTCCCCTTGGGGGCCCTGGCCTTGCCTACAGATAGTTCCAGGGCTGGGGCAGGGGTGGGATCCCTCAAATGCCTTGACCTGCTGGCTTTGCAAGGGTTGCTCAGTGGGCCAGCAGTGGCAGTAGTCTCCCTGCATCCCCAGGCCAGCTTAGTTTAAAGCCTGGTGGAGCAGGTCAGCCAGTCTGGCTGAGAAGAGCCTCCTCCCCAGTGGAGAGAGGTGGAGGCCATCTCTTCCCAGCAGCTAGCTGCCTCTCTCATCAAAGAGCGGATTGTGGTCATGGAAGCCATTGCCTTCCCAATGACTTTATTTGCTACTCTATGACTCTAAATTTGCTACTCTCCATCTTCCTGTATGGCTTTTTAGCATCATTACACTTCCTGATTAAAAGAACCAAAGAAACTGTGAGATGAGAACAAGGCAATTTACTTCAGCGTGTTAAAAATTTGACTGTTGGCCCATAGATGGTTTTAAGCATAGCATAGAGAGATCTGTCACCAAATGAAGTATGCAGCCCAAGCTGACTTTCTTTCATTGCTTATCACCAAATCTGTGCTTGAAGTGGAGAGCAAATTGTACATCTTTGTTAATGAAAAATTATTTTTATTGGTTAAAATAATCCTTTGGAATTTTACCCCGATTCACAGAGACCTGTAGATTAAAATGAAAGGCTAGACCTTCATGTACTTTTCCATAAATTTAAGTCCCAGTAAAACTCTAAAACAGAAAATATATGCTGGTGGGTATTGGTTCCCATAAGAGTGAGAGAGAATATATATATTAAAATGAGTTAGGTTTCTTTAATATGCATTTTGTGTACATATAATACACAAACATTATAGTATATAATATTATAATACACACACACACACACACACACACACACACACACACACACACACACACACACACACACACAGAGTAGCTAACTGCCCATCCAGAATGACAGATTTCACGAGTGTTTCCATGGCCCCCCCTCGCCCCCGCTCACCGTTTTGGGCTGGCCGTCTAAAGACTTCCTCCACTACCACCGCTGTGTCCTCCAGCCTCTGGTGTGGGGGCTCCCTCCCCCACCTGCTTCTGCCTCACAGCAGGGCTTCCCCCTGCCGCCCCTCCCCACTCCTCTCCCGCCCCACCATCTCCCGCTCCCTGCTGGATGATGTCAGGGTTGGGTGGCAGGGGGGTGCCACCACCATGAACCCCTTCCCCTCCCCACCGCCCGGCTCTGACAGCAGATGCCCCTGTGACTACCCCTTTGCCTCTCCCCACCCTGTTCCCCTCCCTCCCTCCCTGCCTGCCACCTCCTCCTCCCTGCCAGCTGTTCGGGGCAGGGGGGCGGTGGGCACCACCACTGTGACCCCACGCTTTGCCCTCAGGTAGGGTGGCATGGGGAAGCCCTGCTGCTCAAGTGGCTTGGGGCATGTTCACCACTGCCACTTAATATCCCCAGGAGCGGCTCAAACTTGGGCCTGTGCAGCCTGGGCCCACGCAGCCAATTGCCACCTGCCCTCTTGGCAGCGCATGCACAGTTGGCCAAAAGTGTTATGGACAGACAGACACACTCACATACAGACAAATACACAGACAGACAGATTGAGCCTTATATATATAAAACCCAACTAATTTTGTAGGCAGAAAGATTGTCCTATCTTGTTCCTCTGTCATTCGGGACAGCACTCTTCTGGAGGCAGTTGCATGCAAATTTCTCTGACCAGATGACACCTATGAGGCAGGTTTAATACACCATATCCTTAGCTTCAGCAAGAAAACCAACAGCTTCGTGCAGTTTCTCTCTGTCTTCATAGGAAACATTTTTATTTCTTGTTCCCTTTTTCCCCCCTGTCAACCTCTCCCACTCTTTCCCCTTCATAAAAGAATACCAAGTAAAAGCACTATAAAAATACAGAAAGCATGCATCTGTAACACTAAGGAGGTCTCTTTCAGAAGAAGGTAAAAGCCAAAAAATCACCCTTTCACATCATGGACATGGATATTG